CCCGCCCCCGGCCCCGCACGCCACGCCCCGCTTCCGGCCGCGCCGCCGGCTTCCGGCGCCGCTATTACACTGGGCGGAGGCGGCGGCTCCAGATCGGGCCGTTTCTGCCCGAGGCGCCGCGTAAACTGAGGTAAGGGGCGCAGGGCCGCGCGCTCGGGTAGCTCCCGTGTCGCCCAGGCTGTCTGTGAACACCTGACACGTTTTATTCAAAACAAAGCAGAAGCCGCATCCATGACTCCGGCGTGGCCGGACCGCGGGGGAGCCCGGCTGCCCGTGGTGCGCTGGGCCGGGCGCGGAAGAGCTCGCTCGGCCCGGCGGGGCCTACGGGGCTGCCCGCAGCAGGCACTGGCCTTCTGGCGAGCGCTTGCGGCATCGGCTCCGGGCCCCGTTGCCTTGGTGAAATGCGGAGCGTCTTGTGTGTGGGCGGCAGCGGTACTGGGCTCTCTGGTACGTGCGTGTTTTTAAAGGGAAGCAGCGGTAATAGTCGGTGGCAAATATCGCAGCCCACACGGAACAGAACAGCTCGTTGGGAGTCGAGACTCTCTTATAAAGTTTATTAATAAAGTTATGCTGAAAGTTGTGTGGGGCAGGGAGGTGCACCCAAACTACATATAGATAAAACTTCCTCCTTTACTTTTAGGAGGAACTTATAGTATCCTAACAAACAACCGCTTAGAGCAAGGAACTCCACGCAGCAGCCTGCCGAACACTACCCTTGTAATCACAATCTTGTTGCCTTCTTAACTGTAATATATAACTCCTCCCTTTGGCTTCTATGCAGGGTGTATTTAGGAGCGAGGGGATTAGTGTCAGAAATCTGCTGCCGTTCTCTGTGTGCAGTCAGCGAGGGCTCATGGGGGTGGGAGTTTGCTCCTGCCACGATGGGCGTGTGAGCTACAGGCTCTGCGGAGCTTGTACGCACAGAACAGGTGTGCGCGACTCCTAGTGCAGGCCAGGCGGGGGGTGGCGGCTCACAACAGCAGGGGCTTGTGTGTACTCGTAACGCATGTTAACGGTTCAGCAGTCGGATGGGTTGACTCTGCTTCTGGTAAACAAGGTACTCGCATTAACAGTGCGCTAACCCATTAAAATCTAACGCAGCGCAGGCAGCGTCACTAGCACAGCACCCATGTTCCTTGTGCATTACTTGGCTGTTGCAGTGCAGCAGCACTAAGAAATCCTGAATGCTAACTGATCAAATATACTGGGAAATACTATGGTTAAGTTGGTTTTCTTTGTTGCATAGTGTAGGACTGAACAGAGAAGAGATCTAGTAACTCCCAAATTTAACCCCAGCTCTCCGCTTCGGACTTAAGTGGCTTGGCCTGAACACTTGATCTTGGGTCCCGAGGCTACGTCTTCCCAATCTGCTGCTTCACTCCTCTTACACAATTGCACAGCTCTGTGATGGCTTGTGGTTTTGAATCTGGTGTCTGGAGGCATTTCCTTGATTGCTGTGCTGCACTCTTGAATTTGCCTCTTCTCCCTTCCTGGATTTGACTATGCATGTTGCCTCCACATGCTGGAGTGGGTCATGCTGGTGGCTGCTGGACTGTCGGCAGTGGAACTTCTCACGAATGATATAGCCAAGATTTGTTGTTGCAACAAACCCATCAGCAGTTGGCACGATTCTTCTTGCAGTTGCATGCACAAAATGCACAGCCAGCAGAGCACCTGCAGGAGATGAAAGGGAAATGATTTGCAGCATAATACATTACCCTTGAAGGACAGGCGGCCCTGCCATTTTCCATAAATGGCTCCATAATTACTGGTGTTAATGTGAAGGAAGGGTGGAAGTTTGTCATCAGCTCCTTTAGACTGTAATAAGGATTGGGGTGGGTAATAGAAGCCTGTAAAGGATTTTGCCATAAAACTTGCAGAGATTAACTTGTTTTACAGGGTCATGGGTATGCTGCCCCGAAAGCACTTGCTACTGCACTATAACCTGCAGTGAAGAAAGTGCATTACTTATGGCTCCAGTAATGTTCTGGATTCCTGTCTGACAGATATGAAGGCAAGCCCCCTGTCACATCAGTTTAACAAAAGGAAATCTGCTAATCCAAACTGCAGAATACACAGCTGAAGTTAAACACCTTTGTTTAAACTAGCTGCCCATCCTTTGTGAAAGGATGACAAGTCACAAGCCTTATAACAATTGTGAACTTTATGCTTTAGCTTGTTATGTAACCCTGAAATAAGAGTGAGCACCCAACAGCATCTAACAGAGGAAAGGCAAGGAAAATGGAAGCGTGCATATTTTTCCCTTATGCCAGATATGATGTTCTTGCACTTATGTGGGCCTAAGCTTTTAGGATGAGTCTAAATACAGATTTTTAAGGTACCTTACACATGGACCCTGACAAGCCCTCGAGCAGCTTCCCTGCTGTAGAAAGTACTACATCTATGGCAGAAACTACAGACACTAGCGTCACTGGCTAGTCCAGGGGTGGGCAAAATGTGGCC